GGTGGTGTTAGTCTCTGCATCTCCTCCATCACTGGTCGGCCAATCACGACCTTTAAAAACTGATCATTTATGAATTATTATTATTTCAAACATCACAAACACTTCAGTTCAACCTGTTCTTACATATTCATCAAAGCATATCTCTGCTGATCATCGTCTGAATGGTAGCTGGCTGTCAGGGCTGAAACCACATTAGAGTTTGCAGGAGGGCGTGGTCTGTGTCGCTGCTGCGGGGAGGCTGACACACCGGAGCTGCATCAGTTCATCACGCCTCCCCTGCATTTAAGTCTGTACCGGGTCCTGAGTATGTGAGGCTGGCAGCTGAAACCACATTAGAGTTGTTTCAAGATGAAAACTGACGTTCACCCCTCGGCCATAGGCTGGTGGGGTACTGTCGACGCCCCGCTGGGCAGCCAGGTGTCCGCAATAAGTCGAGAACAAGGTAACATAGGATTTTCACATTCATACCAGGTGTAGCTACTAAAAATCTGGAATGAGTTTAAATCTCAGCAAACTTGACCTCAAGGCCAAGGTCAGAGGTCAGGTTTTTTGAAAATCTTGTGAACATAACAGCTCAATGATTTTGAAATTCATCCTATTAGTGCATCCACAGGCAGGCTGAGGGGTAGCACCGGGCCGTCAGTGTTTTTATAACATGAACGTTCTGGGTTTGAATCTGAGGGTCATCTGAGGAGTTTGTAGGGTGTTGAGGACGACACACTGATGCACACGGCTCAGCAGGGTTTTTCAGCTGCTGTGACAGAAAACGTATATAAACACACGCCCGGTCCAAAGCCAAGTTCAGCTGTGGTCTGAGGTGGTGAGTGTTATGGACTACGGTAAGTGCTAAAAGTGCACTTAGTGGCTCTGTTGTTGAGGTCCGAGAGGTCAGGAGCAGAAAAAGCTCCATCGAACCTGTTTTTGCTGGACGCAGTTAGCAGGGTAAAAACATCAGGATGTGTTAGATTACAGGATGTGGTGGGGTTTGATGCACCAGCGATAGAAGGCGGGGGCCAGCAGCTCTTATGTGATGCTGTGTTTGCTGCCAGCAGGTGTAAACAGTAGGCTGGCTAAAGCCGTGTTTATTATCTACGTCCGAGCTGCCGGGAGCTGTCAAACTGCTTCATTGGAGGTGGATTCAGATGGGAGCAGTGTGCGCTCGATGTGCCAGTGACATTCAGCTGTCACAGACTGTAAGTGCACCACTGCGTAAAGTGAGAGATGGAGTGCTGCTGAAGTGCTGATACAGTCATTTATGCAGAGGGTGTTGAGAAATGGACTAAGGATACAACCACGAGGGGCTCCGGCATTGATGCTGCTACGCCTCTTCTGACAGCCTGCGATCTTTTAGTGAGACGCACTTTGCCATGCTAATGTGTCATGCAGTACACTGGAAGCATCATTGAAAATGTTTTCTGTAATGCACAAAAACTAAGAAATAAGAGGCTGGATTGGAGTCGTTTAAAGCAGCCCAGAGAATACAGAATATTAAATCGCTGTAAAGTTTTAAACACAGCTGTGGGGTATGAATATAACCAAAGGATGAAAGACAAAAAGAATTTCCCCCAAAAATCTCTTCTTCTCTCAAGAGTTTCAAAACAGAGGCAGCGAGTGTTTTTAAGAATGAACTGCATGGAGAATAACAGAGAATAATAATAAAGAGAGGCTGTTATGAGGCAGCAGATGAAAATATAAGTGGCTTGAGACTGACGGAGAAACACTGTGGCAGCTCGGGGCAGCGATGACTCGGGGCAGAGATAACCAGATGGAGACTAGTTGTGGGGCACGGTGAGAGAGGATATGGATAAAGATTTGCAAACAACAGAAACACAGACAGAGGTCAGGCTAGGAGACAGAAACCAAAGACTGTGGGGATGTGGGTGCAGAGGGAGACAGAGCACAAAGAGGGAAGAAATGCAGGAGAGAAAGAAGAAAAGGGGGAATAACAGGAAAGGCAACACAGAAGAGGAAGAGGAAGCTGTGAAGAGGAGGAAGAGTAGAATGTGCAAATGGATGATGGAGATGTGCCAGAAAAGAGAGGAGGAACACGAGGCAGGGAAGCAGGAGGAGGGAGCGATTAGGCTGAGTGAAAAGTAGAACAGAGGCGAAGAGGAGGAGACGCGTCTGTGATACAAGTGTAACTAATGTGTGTGAAATCACCAGGCGGCCGCCAGCTACGGCTCAGCTGGGAGATCAGCTAATCTGGCACACTGGCTTTTATTAATTAATCAGTTACTGTATGCGACGGAGGGAAGGGGGGTACGTGAGCAGAGGGGTAAGAAGGAAAGAAGTGCTTCCCTGAGTGAGGGAGGGGCGAGCAGAAAGGTAGCGTGGGATGAGAAGAAGAACAAAAGTGTGTGTGTTGCTTTAATGCTCTTGACTGCAGGCTGGAGACGCAGCTTTCAGTTCTAGTGAAGAAATCCCTGATGCTCAAAACTATGTACAAGTGCTTAGGTGAAACGAGGTCTTTGTCTTCAGCTGCTTTTCTTTGTTCCACCTGAAGACGTGAGCAGGAGGTAGAGCAGGTCATCTACTGATGGAAGGTCGGTGGTTCGATCCCCGGCTGCTCCGGACTGCAAAGAGGCCAAACACTGAACCCGAGTTTCTCCTGAGTGAATGTCAGATAGAAAGACTGAGCTGTGTTGTATAAGGCGCTTGGCAAAAGTAAGACCCATTTTATCCAGGCCACATTTGGAAACAGTAATCCATGCTTCAAAATGCTGCTGCACTTTGCTGCTGGGAGGTGAGGTGAAGGCGCGTTGTCCTCCTATGCATGGGAGGACAATGCATAGGAGGATTGTCCTCCCATGCAAAGGACAGGTTCATTAAACTCAACCTGTCCTTGGTGCATTGTCCCTCAACCGTCCAAGGAATACATCGATTATTTCCTGGAGCTTTCAGCGATTTCTGGACCCTGTGGATTCCTGCCTCATCCCTGTGGTCGGCCTGGATGATGCTCCTTCGTGACATTTACCTCCTGGAATCTGGACTTTATGTGCGTCACTGAGATTTGGCTTTAACACGTGAGTCCAGTATTTTATCCGAACTTTTACCAGCGGCTTGTTCCTATTTTAACACACCGAGGACATCAGGGGAGGAAGAGGTACAGCGGGTGATTTTTTTTAAAAAGGATTTTAAATGTAAACTGTGATTTTTAGAGTTTTCATCTTCCAGCCTTGAGCTCACATGTTTTGAAGTTAATCACTCTAACTCAGTGATCATTGCTGTTATTTATCGTCCCTCTAAATACAATAAGAACTTCATAAATTACCTTTCAGAACTTCGAGCTGGGACTTTGCCCAACTACGATCATGTTTTTATTGTGGGAGGTTTTAATATCCATGTCTGCTGTCCAGACAAACCTCTGGTGAAAGGGTTTTTAAGCCTGACTCTTTTAATCTGGTCCAGTCCATACCCAGTCCCACACACGAACACAGAAACACACTAGGCTTGGTCTTGTCACACAGTCTACCTGAGTCAGACGTGGAAATATCTGACGCTGTCTTTTCTGATGCTGTTTTCACGAAACCACCGCACATGTTCGCCACTGTTGGATCATTAACCCTTCCACTGCTGTCCAGTTCTCCTTTGCTTTTAGCCAGCTGTCTGTCCCTGCTGATCTCACTCCCTTGGACACAGAGGACCTCAACTCCTGGTTTGAATCTTCTTGCCTTACTATACTGGACTCTGTGGCACCATTAAAAACCAGGCAGCCCAAGGCTAAAACCGAGCCTTGGTTTAATAACACCACTTGGGCTGTGATGAGGAAGTGTCATAGAGCTGAATGCAGATGGAAGAGGGACAAACTGCAGGTGTCTCTTCAAATCCTAAGGACTGCTGGCGCCTCTATCAGGATATGGTCAAAGAGGCTAAAAGAAAATACTTCTCCAAGATAATTTCCTCCAACAGTCATAATCCATGTGTGTTATTTAACTTAATGACACATTAATATCTGGTGTAGTCCCTGCTAATTTTAAGCATGCATAAGAAACCCGCCCTGGACCACACTGTATTGGCTAACTACAGGCCATCTCCAAGCTGTCTTTTATGTCTCAAATCTTAGAGAAAATTGTATTTTCCCAGTTGATGGATTTTTTAAAATGAGAACGGCATCTTAGAGGTCTTTCAATTAGGCTTTAAAAACCTTCATAGCACTGAGTCAGCAGTCCTAAAGGTTTTAATGATTTCCTCCTTTCCTGCGATTCTAGTAATCATGTTGTTCTGGTCCTCCTTGACCAAACACCTGCCTTTGACACTGTAGACCACAACATTTACTGTGGCTTACACCATCTTGCAGACATTTGTGGTACTGCTTTGAATTGGTTTAGCTCTTATCTTTCTGACAGAACTGTTAGTGTTAACCTTTTAGGGCACGAGTCCTTTTCTGCTCCTCTTCAGTTTGGGGTCCCACAGGGCTCAATTTTAGGGCCTCTGCTTTTTTCATTATATTTACAGCCCGTGGGAACCATCCTTAGAAGGCATGTGATATCCTTCCACTGTTATGCTGACGACTGTCAGATTTATCAATGTGCATGATCTGTACACCTGTTTTTGATAATAAAGCTGGCTTTGACTTTGACAGTTTACCTTATTTCATATGTTAGCTCGTGCTTTGTGTTTCCACCTGTGCATGAAGTGTGCTTTGTTGGTACAGGCAGTATAAGTGGATTCTCTTATCTTATCTCTTATCAGAAATCCAAACACAAGATTAGTGTTTGGATTTCTGCTTCACTGAACTGTCAGTTCACTTTAATTCATTAGTGTAGAAACCTGACACACGTAACTCCACACAGTCGCCAAGTTCCTCTGGTGACAAAGCAGGCCAAGCTTTTATTGTCTCTCTTACTTTTACGCGCGCTAACAATTTCACATGTAAAGGCTTTGTACTGTGGACGTGCTGCTCTGTGTGTCCTTAAATCTGCTTCAGTTATGGACATCTGATGCTTGTCCAAACCCAGCAGCTGTGAATTAAATGTGTGTGTGTCTGTTTTCTATTGCAGGCCACATGAGACTGTGGTGCCTCTTGAAGACCCCATTGTCACCGAGGTCACGTCAACACTGCAGGAATGGGCCTTACTGTGGAAGCAGCTCTATGTGGTAAGCAGCGCGGAGCATCCGTGTGCATCGTGCCGCTTTGTTGTCAGGAACAAAGGGAATGCAACAGACCGAGTCCCCCAAAGCCCGACATCTTTAGAAAGAATCCAGTCGCTGCTTAATCTCAGCAAACATCATTATTATCACATGTATTCTGAAGCTGTCCCAGAATCTGAAAGTGCTGCAGTTGTTTTTGTTTTCGTGAAGAACTATTCTTGGAGGTTAACTAAAACTAACCCAGCCTACGGTGTGGGGAGGCCTTCAGCAGCAGTTGGTGCTTGATAAATCTCTGTTTTGAAGAAAGAAATACAAGTAGCTGATCAACCAATCAGAATGCTGCACAGCTGCAAATCTTAAAAAACATCTGCTCTTCATTTTTCCCACACCTAGTACAGTTTTTCTTGTTTTGTGGGTTTATAACCAACTAAATAAATGAGAGACTCAGGTTAACTTTACTTTAGCTGGTTTTGTAACGTGGGTTCATCCCAGTTCACACAAAATCTCCAACTCAGATCTTTTCTCTGTGTAAATCGGTGAAAGTGAATATTTTCTGGATGAATTCAGTGGACCAGCTGTGAAAAAAGAAACTCCCGCTGCTGGGATCAATAGCAAAAATAATGCACAATAAAATAAATAAAACATGTTCATCTGAGGATAACAAATAATAATTACTACTTCTTATTGCACAGCTGTGTGAGAACAGAGAAATGGAGGATACTGATTCTGACCTGTATTAAAATAAAAATATTCTCAACCAATCAGATTTCTGAATTGCACCAAAGACCTCTGAATGGGAACACTGACTTGTGTCCAGCCTCGGCCTGTGCTGCCCACAGATTCATGTATTTTTAAGGTGCGATGTTCCTGAGATGTGCCTGGCTCTGAAAGCACAGTGAAGGCTTTCTGTACAAAAGTGCAAAGGCTGCAAGCAGTAACTGTGAGCTCGCTGTCACTCATATCTGCATCACTGTCAGCCAATCAGATTTTTCACTCACTCCACCCTCTCTGTCCAGCCATCAGTTCGTAGCCTTTTTTCGTACTTTTAGGCCATCTGTCTTCTCGCCACTTCCTGTCGCAATATGTGATCGGAAATCCATCTGTCCCTAAACGGATAGAGGGGAAAGTAATCCGTGCATTAGGCCTGGTTGTAATCTAAAACTGTCGCTGTGCTCCGTCTCCTGTCTCTGTTCCGATGGTTATTTTCATCACTCATCTTCCTCGTGTCCTGCCAGCCCCGTCGCTCTGTGCTTTTATTCTGGTTTAACAGACTTTTGTCTTTGCTCCCTGCCAGAGTTGAAGAGATGAAAGACAAAATTGTCATTGTCGGGTTCTGCGTGACAGATTTTCTATTTCCATCCTGACAGATCTGACATTAACGAGTGTTTTGTCACTGACAAAGTGAATGTCCTCTTAAAGCAGATGAAAATCCAGCAACAAGGAATGCTCGTGCGTTGTGGACGGATGGAGAGATATAGGAGTAGATTAGAGAGAATGACTGTCTTTGTTGCAACACTGTCTGCTTATAGATAAGCACACATGCAGATAAGAAATAATAAGCCCGTAAACAGAAAAGGACGTGGAGAGGAGACAGAGAGAGGCATGCCGAGGTCTAACACGATGAAGCTGGTGCTGAGCATCAGCGCACTGCAGAGCAATTCTCTGGTTTGTTAGAAGGGAAAGATTTTTGGTATTTCATGGGATAACAATCAAATTTTCCATACTTAAAAAATTGCCACGATAAGTTAAATTGAAATTACTATTATAATGTAAATGCCAAAAAACATGACTTGCAGAAAAGAGTGTGCTCTACATGCAGACAGTGGGCACAGTTGGGCCATAATCTGGGCGACTTTTGGCACCGTTCCCTCAGTTAGGGCACTGACGAGTGTTGTGTGGAACAGACGATCTGGACTTTAGATGCCTGCTCTGCAAACTCAGATGTGCCCTGAAGGCCACAACACATCTGATATTTGGACGTGTGGCTGAGCTGAAGCATACACATTTGACTTTAGTCAAGGCAAAATGTGGTCCATGGAAACCAAATTACACCAAAACAATGATTTAGAGCTGGGTATAAGGAACAAGTATCCCCCTTACATGTTGGACCTTTGATGGACCTCAGATATGTTTTATTGCAGGACAAATGTTGAAAGAGGAAATAAAAAATTTGAAGATGCTGTAAAATCCTATTCATTATTAACTAGCAGCACTTTTCCTGTTAATGGTTATTGTTGTTATAACAGTGAGTTATCTCATGAACCAATGCAAAAACATGACGCAAAGACAACCATGACGTGAGGAAGTCTGTATCATCAGTAGTGAGGATGTGTGAGTGGATAAGTGCTGCGCTCCAGAACATCGGAGCCGCAGTTTAATAGAGAAAAAACTAAACCAGGTGCTTCCCGTTGTCCTGATGGTGTGCATCACCCACCTTCTGCAGTAGAGAGGAATAAAGAGAAGTAAGGAGAGCAACCAGACCATCACAGTGGAAAAAAATCCAAGTGCAAAACACAAACGGGCTGCGATCCAGGGTCTCCTGTCTGCTAAGCTCCCTCCTACCTCCTAAAGCAGACTGTGCAGCTCTGCAAAGCTGTTATCTCTCAGCAGCCAGAATCGCTGCGGATGCACCGACACCGATAGACACCTTGCACTTAACGGTGAAACACAGGTGGCGTCTGCCAGAACGGCGCTATGTGACGCCCGGGGAATGTGCAAATTTGCCAAAATGCTGCCTGGAAGCAAAATGCTGACACACTGATGTCAGAGCCCACTTTAAGCATTTTCATATTAATTTAATGTTTTTCTAGAGCTTGTACAAAAATATAATAATTGGCAGTGAGTCATAGAAACCTGTGTGACTCCCAGTTCACATATTTGTGTGTATACTTGTTTTTTTCCCTCTCTCACATCCACACACACACACACATAAAGATGCTCAGACGTGGCTGTCATCACTGCACGCATGAATAAATGCAGAAACATCGACATGCTGAAGTCTCAGTAAGTGGACATTTGGTGGGTCTGCAGTCTGTAGAGGTGACAAATGCAGCAGAGCAGGGAGGCCAAGACACACACACACACACACACACGCACACACACACACACACACACACACACACACACACACACACACACACACACACACACACCCCTCTGTGAACACACACCATCTCCTGTGCCCTCTCTCTCTCTCTAGTGTATCTCTCCAATTGCCCTTTGCACACAGCCACAGGCAGTTTACACATTGGTGGCGAAAGTGTGTGTGTGAAAGACGAACCCTAAGACAGTGTGTTAGAGACTGAATAAATAAAAAATATGAGAAAGAAAGCGAGGGCTCGGAGGGGAGAAGGGAAAAGGAGAAAGCATGTGAGACTGAATAAGAGATAACAACTGACAAAGGAGAAATGGAAGATTGCAGCAGAGTGAAGAGAAATACTGGGTTGGCTTCAGTGCTGTGTGGTACTAAATGCATATCAGAGTGGCAGATTATTGGATGCTCTGAGAATCAAGAAACATGGAAACACAATAACCAGTAATTAAACAAGCAAACAGTGTCAGTGTTTACATGAGGAGAGAAGTTACGGTGCTACAGGGTCACACAAAGTCACATTTAAATTCTTTGCCCTGATGTGGTCTTTGGCTGCTTTCTTTATTTGGAGTGTCAGATTTCTGTGTGAATTGGATGTGGTTGTGTAAACTGGTACCGTGTCACTTCAGTGTTCCTCAGATCCATCTGTTATCGTCACATCTGGTTATCACTGCTTTTTTTTTGCCTTTGCCACTTTCCTTGAACAAGTCGAGGCCCAAAGACCTCCAGGAGGTCTGGAGAACTGTTGCTCAAGATACTCTGGCTCCTCGGAAGCTAATTAGAAGTCAATGAAGTCAATGAGAGGTGACTCAAGACTTTTGCACAGTACGGTGGCTGCCTTACGTTAATCACTGGGACTAAACCCAAAGTACCCCCAAGTCACTCTTTGTTGCTGTTTCACAGCTCACTGAGCTCACTGCTCGAGACTGCCCTCTGCTGGTAGTTTTGTGCAGAACAGTAAAACATTGGTTTACAGTTTTTTCTGATTGCTTAAGCACATTTTTTGTAACTATTGGCTAATTTTGCAAAACTCTTCACACAAATAAGAAAACCTGTCACCCAATCATCAAAACATTGTAGTTCTCTTGCAAAAGCAAACACAGCTAGATTAACTCTTCACACCTTCGTAAAAATGGTGTTTCCGTATCAAACAGTACACACAAGCCATCATCTACTAAGCACACAATGCGCCAACTGCACACTGATGGTATGAATACAAAACACATCTGGCTTTTGCTTTCTCTGTGCACAAGGTAGGCTATGTCAGTTTGAGCTCATACTTCTGTCATAGATCCATAAGCATAGAGGGATCCAAACTTCAAGTACTGGTGTTTATTCAAACACATCAAAACAAACACAAGTGTTCATTTCCAAGTATAGGATTATTTGCAATCGCCATAATGACTATATGGGTTACTTGGTCTGCAGTGAACATGCTTCCTCTGCCCCAGCATCTGGTCATCTAGCAATTCTGTAAAGTAACAATTTCAGTATTTTTACATCAATGGTGTTTGTGTGTTTCTCATTGGCATACGGCAGTGCTACAGATCTTAGTGCGAAGTGACTGTACTCACCGATTCTCATTTCAAGATGTCCTTATGGTACTTGCTACAGTGTAGCGGCTCGAGTTAGGCTGGACCCGTTGGCCAGCTACCCTCAGGGTCATTCCACGGTTGATTACATGGTCCACTATTGTAGCTCTGATGTCATCAGCAATTCTATTTCTTACTCTTCTTACCCTTCCTCTCCCCCCTCCTCGTCTTCCTCTTGCTCCTCCTTGTCCTTGTCGTCCTCTTCATCCTACTTCTTCACCTCCACGTCCTCTTCCTCGGCCTCCTCTACTTCTCACTCTTTCTGCTCCCTCCATTGTACTCCGCACACACAGCTTACCTGTATTATAGTGCTTAGGCTGATT